TTCAGTCTAAATAAAAAGGAAGGTTTTAACTTTAACATAAAACAAATTTTATATTTAAAAAAGGTATCAAGCAAGAACTAAACTTAGAAAAGTCTATTTTTATCTTAAAAGTTTCATATCTAATTTATCTTTTATCATAACTAAGGAAAAATGTAGCTATTGATCTTCAATACTATCAAACTGCCAGAACAATATAAAATTACATAAATAAACAGGCCATGCATTGTAAGCAACTTCCAAAACACTAGAATTGACAGAGATATCTCATTGTCTGAACAATCATCCAAAATTCTTCTGCAACATTAGGGAATCCATATTCAACCTACAGGCCCATAGTATCTTACAGATTTTTCCTTTAAGCAGAAAATTTGAAATGCTTTCTCACCTACATAGACAGTTTTTCAATTTCTTTATTCTTTGTTTTGCAGAATGTCTGGCACACTCTTTCATGAAGCAGTAACCCTGAAGGACAGTTTTAACCCTCTCTTGACAAGTTCAGTAGTCATTTTTCTCTGTTTGCGCATGCCCAACTTATACAGAATACCATCAAGCATTTCAGGCAAGGCTAGCAAAAACCTATAAGGATCCTCTTCAATGCCTGTCAGCCTCTTGAAGTAGATTGGTGCTGCCAGAAAAAGGCATGCCTCACTGTCAAGGAAAGTCTAAATTCTTAAAACCTTCTAAATGCCATATTATTTAGGTCTTTGAAGTGTTGAAGATTATCTACCTAACTGGGATATATCTCTGTATATCTAGAAAACCTAACTAATATGACTACAATTTTGACTATTGTAAATTACTCTCTATTAATCTGTACTTTTTCATTATACTTTACATTTTAAATAAGCTGTATAAATAAAAATACCTTAAATAAAAGTAGAAACAAAATTGACATTAAATTTGTATCAATAAAACAAAAAGTCCATACCAATGCAAGATATTCATTTCTATATCTTATACCCCCTTTTGTTTTTTGAAAAAGAGATTGACTGTGACCATAAACCATTATAATCAAAAAAAAAAACTTTAAATGAAAAAAATTATAAACAATTATTTTGGGAAATTAGACATTGTTTTCTCCAAATTACTTCCTGCTGTTTGTTGGGCAAAGCATTTTCAGGGTTTTTGGAAACCTTTTGGGAGGTCTTGATCCATTAAACCACATTAGACCAGAAGGAATCTACAAGTTCTCATCTTCTGTTGAAGAAAAAGTAGTACTTCTTTTCCAGAGTAACATATCCTTAGACTCAAATTTTCAAGTCAAGATACCTTTTAATTATATATGTTCATTTAACTTAGCAGCCACCAGAATTGAATGTCTCTCTGCACTCAAAAAATTAAAAGTAAACACATTAATATATATAACACAGACTATGTATTTCCACCCTTTCCTGGACCATTAAAATTTTTTCATTCAATTTTTCCTCTAGGAATCTGTTTAATACCCTGAAATTGTGTTTTTTTTTTTAAATCTATGACTTTATCTTTTATCCTCTCTGTTTTATGCCCATGCACATTTATCAAACTTACTATGACACAATTAGAAGCATTTTTTTTCTCCAAATCTGTCTTTACTGTGTATCTATAATTCCTTTCTGACCAGGAGGGCTTTTTAAAAATGCTAAGCAGGCATGGCTAGGACTAATGCTGCCTCTTTTCTTGTTTATTCTGCCATGAGGTATGTTAACCATCTCTGTAGGTTATCTTTACTGTCTTAGCTCCAGAGACGCAGTGGGTCTATTTTGCCATTAAGCAACTAATAGCAGAATCCTTACAAACCCCAATCAAATGTCCTGTGACAGGACCTGCCAAAAGAGCCAGAGTCATCTGTAGCACCAACACAAACCAGGAAGCTGTCTCTGGAAAGAACATTACATTTTTTGCTGCTAATGCTGTGTCAGACAGCTTTCTTTTACTCTTAAATGAACTAAGCTTCTGTTTGCTGGAAAAGCCTTCCTGGAAAAAAAATGCAACGACCAAGAAGCTGCACTTGACTCCCAAGTTTTTGTGGATCTAGAAGCCTTCTTTTATCAATCAATCTATCATCTATCTATCTATCTATCTATCTATCTATCTATCTATCTATCTATCTATTTAAGATTTCTGTCTCTTCCCCGCCACCCCTTCCCATTTCCCTCCCCCTCCCCCGATCAAGTCCCCCTCCCTCATCAGCTCCAAGAGCAATCAGGGTTCCCTGCCCTGTGGGAAGTCCAAGCACCACCCACCTCCATCCAGGTCTAGTAAGGTGAGCATCCAAACTGCCTAGGCTCCCACAAAGCCAGTACGTGCAGTAGGATCAAAAACCCATTGCCATTGTTCTTGAGTTCTCAGTAGTCCTCATTGTCCACTTTTAAGCTTTTTTAAAGTCTTATGTTGATCCATGCCAAAAGGTGGGTGCCATTTGTAAGCATAGACTGTTTATTTTCCGTCTTCCCAGACCCAAATAAACACACAGAAACTATATTAATTACAACACTGTTTGGCCAATGGTTCAGGTATATTCCTAGATAGCTCCTACATTTTAAATTAGCCCATTTCTGTAATTCTGTGTATTGCTACGAGTCTGTGGCTTAGCGGTAAGCTTCTGACATCTTTCTCCTTCAGCAGCTACATGGCATCTCTCTGTCTCCTTATTTTCTCCTCTGCCTCCATTTAGATTTTCCACCTTGCTATATTCTGTACTGTCATAGGCCAAAGTAGTTTCTTTATTAACGAATGACAATAAAACATACAAACAGCATACAGAGGGATACTCCACATTAGATATGTCTATTTTATATAATTTTTCCCTAGGAGTACATTTTCTCTGAATAGTATGGTATTAAAGTTACTTATCTATTGCCATTATAACCCAAAAGTTTAACAGAAAGTATTTAATTGGACTTACGTTTCCAGTGGGATGGAGTGTATGATGCTAAAGGCATGACTGCAGGAATATTTGAGAGCTCAACCTAAACCTTCAAGGAAGAGACAATAAGATCTCTCTGGGAAGCAGAGGTTCAGTGGGTGGGGCCTTTTGTAACCTCAATACTGGCCTCAGTGACCTACTTTCTTCAATAATGCTATACTTTTTATTCCTTCCACTAACTGTGGACTAAGTACTCAAATAAATGAACAGTCAGAGATATTCCCATCTAAATCCCCACGTGCGCCATATTTGTTTCTGCTAAATGGCCTATGTTGTTTCTTTATGAATTTAAATTTAAAAAAAAAGGATATTCAAACTGTAATCTTTGCAAACTAGACTGTAAAAATAAAATGAATATTCACCACAGTATGCATAAATAAGTTGCAAAGCATGGAGCTAATGAGTGCTTTATCATACTGTAATCTTTCATCAAAAAATGCTACAATTTTACAATATGACTTTCAGCAAATTTTTGTATAGATGAAAAATCATCAGTTAAACAGACAGACAGATAGAAATGCAAAGTTTCAGAGGGGATGTGTGAAGGAATCTTGAAACTTTTCCTTATTGATACATAACAACTTTTTTCTTTTTCATTTTCTTTCAAAATTTATATTCCATACTAAGAATAATTTCTGTACACAAATAGCACCATGCCTTTAAATAACCACTGAAATTAGTCCTTCTTTTTGACTCTCAAAATGAATGCCTAGCAATTTCTCTTAGTTATCCTTTATGTTGGTTAGTAATTACTTGCTGTTCCAATTCTGTTTTCTTTTACATTTTCCTTATCTATATCTCTACTCTAGTTATCCTGATACTACTCAGATTCATCATCTCTCTGACCTTCTTATTGACAGCTATTATCAATTGGCCATTATTGCAATTTAAAGCCTAACTTTAAAATTTGTTCAAGTTTGACATTATTTTTTCCTATCCTGACATTTCTAAGTACAATGTTCTTGCTTTTTGTCACCTTGATAGCAGAGTACAGAAATATCTATCCAATTACAGCCCAGCATCTTCCTACCTATTGATTAAAATTTATTAACTGCACTATTAATATGTTTCATTTCCATAACTGACCTACTGGCACTGAGAAATAAGTATTGATTCCAAATTACCCCAAAAAGGGATAGTTGTCACCTCATTTAGGATTAATGTGCTCAAAAAACATAATTGCTACACTCCAGCAAACTCATTTTCTTCCATATTCTTTTCTGATGCACTTTGCTTACTCATAGTAGTATGCAATTTCTTTCCAGTGTGCATTGATCCCATTATACGAGTTTTTCTTATGCTATTCTAAATGTTGGAAATGTCTTAAAGTATCTAAATGCTTACCATGTTAACACTCACATGATGCAATGCATATTATACCTACTCCTTTCCAAAACACTTTCATTTTCATTCTTCACTTGTATTTAGTCTTACTTTGCTGCTTTCATCAACATTGGTTACTCTAATGAATATTTTTTAAGTCCAATGAAGTAAAAAAAAAAACTACTAACAATCCAATTATTATCTCTCAGTGACTGGAGGGCTTTGTTAGGTTGTTCTTGCTTGTGTTTTTATGTGAGATTGCTATCAGTTGATTTCTGTGGCTAGCTTGCTATTAAGGCTTGGTTGGAATAGTATGGTTCAGTTTCCATCACAGAAGAAACATGAATACCTCTGTTGCTTTCAGAGTTAGATTTATACACAGAGCTGCTTTTGATTTTCATGATATAACAAGTAATCATGGTAGATTACTAACAGCAAATCTAATCCATAAATCATTCATGTCCTCATCTCAGGGCCACCTCTATTTCTCTTCCATTTAACATTTGTTGGAAATGAAACAGTGACTTCAGTTGGCTCTGTGGTAAAATGACAAAGTTCCATCTTTCAAAGGAAGTTAAAGCATGGAGACAGGTTTTGAAAAATATCCAAGCATTATTTTGAATGTCTATTTCTCTCATGATGTTCATATTGAAGGAGGGTTCTCATTTGCTCCTTTGGATCCCATGTCTCTTCCATAGTTTGTGAAGGTGATTTCCATCTGTTTGTGATTGCTCATGGTTTGAGTGATGCATAAATGTTGTTGCTCGTTCTCAGAGATATAAAATATCCACTTAAGCCACTTTAAAATAAATAAAAAAAGAAAATGTTTTCATTTATTTAGCATTTGCTTAGGATATTCAACAACAAACCTCCCAAATACAAGCATTATAAGCAGAATTTTATTAAGAAGAGTGACAACCTTTTGTTTGTTACAAATGCACTTTGGAATGCTTTGATTTCTGGTTAACATATTAGGAATGTATGTTACCAGTGAAATTATGTAAAAAATAAAGTATTCGCTATTATTTATTATGTTTTTCCTTTTATCAAAAAATTGTTCTCCTATATTATATCCTTGTTACAGTTTCTCCTCTCTCTATGCCTACCAAGTCCTCCCCCCCTCTCCTTCCATCGAGATTTATCCAAATATTTCTGTCTTTCATTAGAAAAAAAATAGATTTTTAAGGGATAATAAAATACAATATAAGATAAATCAAAAATTAATACATCAAAATAGGGCACAACAAAAACACAGGCATAAAAGAAACCAAGAAAAGATACAAAAAAATATAGAGACTTGGGGATACAATTGTTCGTATACTCAGTATTTCATACACTAAACTAGAAGTAATAATATATTTATTCATTTTGTTAGCTGGCTACTACTGGGCATGGAACCCTTAAGAATAGTTGCTTCCTCCATAAGAATTTCCTTGAAGGAAATAAAGTTTTCATTTACTATAGGAGATAGTTTCTGAATTAGGGATGGAGGCATGTGACTGCTTCTCTTAATTGTAGGATCTCATCTGGTACAGAATCCTTCAAGCCCTGGGTCTGCCTGCTTCCATTGTCTCTGGGAGTTTATATATGTTAATTCTGTTGATTTAAAGGGTTTTGTTTCCTTGATGTCCTCCATTCCCTCTGAGTATAAAAATCTTCTACATGGAGTTCTCTGAGACCTCACAGGAAGGATTTGATGGAGATATAACATTTAGGACTGAATTTTCTGAGCTTTCTTACTCTCTATATAATGTCCAGTTGCTGGTCTTTGTATCTGTTTCCATCTTATACAGAAGGATGCTTTTCTGATGAGGCCTGAGCAAGACACTGTTCTATGAGAATGGATCATAAGAAATCTTTTATTTCTATATTTATTTTATTTATTTTTAGATATTTTATTCATTTTCATACCACACATAGTACCCCAACCCAGCTTTTCTCTTGCCCCCTCCCACCCAAAAGACCCCCCCCCCCCCGTCCACTCTTCAGAAAGGTTAAGTCCTCTCATCATGAGACAACAAAGCCTGGCACATTAAGGTGGGGAAGGACCAAGCCCCTCCCCCCCATATCAAGGCTTAGCCAGGCATCCCACCATAGGGAATAGGCTCCAAAAAGCCAGTTCATTTACCAGGGATAGATCCTGGTCTCACTGCCAGGAACCTCACAAACAGCTACATGACTGTCACCCACATGCAGAGGGCCTTATTCTGAGCCATGTTGATTGCCTACTAGCCATAGATTTAGCTACCTCTCTCAATATTCTCATGTTTACCCTCTTCTTTTCTCCCCTTCGCCTCTTGATCCTCCCATTCCAGTCCCTCACTCCTGGAGCTATCTACTCTGTGTCACATTCCTGGGGAATTCTATCTGTTCCTCCACCTTCCGGTTTTTCAGTCTATCCTCTGTCATTCTATGGATTATAGTTAGATTCTCATTTACCAAACAGCTGACATTCACATATGGGCAAATACAAACCATATTTGTCTTTCTGGGTCTGTGTTTCCTCACTAAGGAATTTTTTTTTTATTTTCAACCATTTACCAGTGATTTTTTTAATGGATGAGCAATATATATATTATATAAAATTATTATATATAATTTTTCTTTATTTATTCTTCTATCAAAGAACACCTAGGTTATTTCCAATTTCTGTCAATTATGAATAGGGCAGCAATGAACATGGTTGAACAAGAGGCTCTGTGGTTGGATGAACTGTCCTTTGGGTATATGGTCAAGAATGGAATAGCAGGATCTTGAAGTAGATTAATTTCCATGTTCTTGAGAAAATACCACACTAATTTTCATAGTGACTATGCAAGTTTGTAGTCCCACCAGCAACTGATGAGCATTCTATTTAATTCATATCCTCTCCAGCATGAACTGTAATTTCTATAATTAATCTTAGCCATTCTCATAGACACAAATTGAAATCTCAAAGTAGTTTTCATTTGCATTTTCCCGATGACCAAAAACATTGAACATTTCTTTTTGTGCTTCTCAGACATTTGAATTTCTTCTATTGAGAATTCTTTATTTAGACTATGCCTTATTTTCCCTTGAGTTGTTTTATTGATATACAGATTTTTTATCTATTTATAAGCATTTTTTGACATTAGTTTTCTGTTGGATACCTAGTTAGTAAAAATCACTTTCCATTCTGTAGGCTTCTGCTTTTTCTGAATTACTGTATCCTTTGTTGTGTGAAATATTCCCATTTTCATGAGGCGTCATTTAATAACTATTGGTATTTCTTCTTGTACTAGTAATGATCTGCTAAGAAAATTCTTTCCTGTGTCAATGAGTTCAGGGATATTCCCTAGTTTCTAGTCTAACAGGTTTAGTGTATCTGGTTTCTTGTTGAAGTTTAAATCCATGTGGAGCTGTTTTGTGTAGGATTATAAGGTGCATCTATATGGATTATTGTACACTCAACCATTTGGTTTGACATGTACAATTTGTTGAATATTCTGTTTTTTTTCCAGCATGTTTTTCTGACTTCTTTATTAAAAAAAAAGTTCTCTGTGTGAATATGTGTCCACGTCTTCCACTTTATTTTAATGTTCAATGTGTCTGTTTTGGGGCCAATACCATGCTGTCTTATCATACAGCTCTGTCTGTGATACTACTTGAATTTGAGAACAGTAAAATCTCCATTGGTTCTTTTATTATTCACAGTTGTTTTAGTTATCCTAATTTTTGTGTATATATTTCCATATGAAGATGAATTTGTCCTTTCAAGATTTAAGAAGATTATGTTAGAATATTGATGGGGATTACATTGGATCTGTAGCTTACTATTAGTAGAATGATTATTTTTACTATATTAATTCTACTGATTCATGAGTATGGTAGATATTTCCATCTTCAGAATGTTCTCTTTCATGGTAATTAAATTACATTGTTTGTTTATCATGAAGAAGTGTGGGATTTTTTGTCAAAACTCATTTCTGTAACTAATTAGATGACTGTGTAGTTTTTGTCCTTCAATTTGATTATTTGGTAAATTGGAGATGGTGGTTTATTTCTGGTGATTCTATTTTTACACAATTTTATTTTATTAGATCTTTGAAAAAATTATGTAATGAATTTTGATCAGTTTTACTGTGTTTTCCCCAAATTTACTAAGTTATACCCCCTTTCCCAACCAACTTTATGTTCTTTTTGTCCCCATCAAGGTCAATTTCTGATGCCCAAATACTCTTGGATAGTGATCTTTCACAAGAACATTGTCTGGTTATCAGACTTTGCACTTTTACAGAAAATTGGTACTTCTCTTGTAACAACAGAAACTTAACAATGACTTCTCAGCTAGAGGTAGAACTGTGAACTGAACTTTCTGTTTCCTAGTAGGATATTTTTTAAATATGTTTTGGCTCACATGAGAGTTGTTCATGCTGTCAAAACTCTTTATGTTCATATTTGTAGCTGAATGCAGTGTCCATAAGACCCTTGTTCTTCATCATGTCTCATCATTCCAAGATCAACTAGATGTACCTGGGCGACATGGAAAAATATTCTAGAAAGTCTTAATTCTCTGTCTTGAGGTAAGATTGCTGTCTTGGAATATAAAATTAGAAAAGAAAGGCTGTTTTCATTTGAAAAGTTATTAAGTCCTGGTCTAGCCTTGTGCTTTATTTAGGGCAACACCAAAATTGCTTTTCTGTACTGGAAAATGTTCAGCAATGTGATGTATATTACCTTACTGAAATGCAACTTCCTTTATGAACCCATTTGACTAAACATATGTTCCTGCAAATTGAAGGAATACACATCTATAACAACTTAATGAGCATTCCATTATGTAAAATGGATTACTAAGTCAGTTCAGTCATATTCACAACGGGTGTGTCCTTTTACAAGGTCATCATTTCTATTACAAGTGTGGCCAGCATCATCCTTAGAAAATTACTAAAGCATAGGATAAAAAAGCATTAGAAATAATAAGTAAGGAAAAACAAAACATTTTCTTAAAACTGATTGAATAATACAATAAACCATCCAAGAAAAAAGAACAAACTATTGACAGAAACACATAATAGTATGTATAGAGCAGATATTTTTACAGTATTAAGTTACAATATACTTCTATAATTTTATCATTTATGAAAATTAAGAAAACACAATTTTATCAAAAGGCACAGGGAAATCATGTCTCAAAAAGAGAAAAGAAAATATAATTTAAATGTTCACTTACTTTTTTCCCTTTTTCTTTCTGTTTTTAATATCTTTAAGTTTCAGTGAATTTCATACATGTGCACAATGAAATATCATCTCAACCCTCTATTTCTTCTTCCAGTTCTACCCATTTCTTTCCATTGACTACTGTATACTGTTCACTGAAAACAAAAGCACTTCTCTCCTTCTCTCTCTCTTTCTCTGTGTCTCTGTCTCTGTCTCTCTCTCTGTCTGTCTCTCTCTCTTTCTCTCTTTGTTTTTGAGACAGGATATAAATTGGGAGCCTGTCCTGGCACTCTGTTGAAAATGCTGGCCTTGAACTCACAGAGATCTGCCTGCTTCCTTCCTCCTGAGTGCTAGGATTAAAGGTGTGATCCACCATCACCTGACTTTTTCTTTAATTAATGAATTTATTTATCTATTACCTGACTTTTTAAAAATCGTTTTTTACTGCATTTTATGTATGTACATATATGCATCAAATTCCAAGGACAGTCTAGAGGAGTTGGTTCAGTGCTCTCCTTCTAGCATGTGGAGCCTGGGATTGAACCTGCTGTTAGGCTAGTCAGAAAGGATCTTTATTTGCTGAGTCATCTCTATAGCCAACAATCAGTAACATTTCTA